GTTGAACAGGCTACAAAATACGCGCTGAATAAAAGTCCACCCCAGGAGTCCACCCCACGCGCGTAGGGTGTTAACTTCAAGATGTAAAGTTTGCTTTATTTTGTAGTCGTACAGAGAAAAAAAATGAACAAGATGACTAACGATTAATGATATATTTGTGGATAATTCTGCTAAATGATAAATTAACTGACACCATTTAACCGACGACCGTTATAATCTATTTGTATCTTGTACTAAATAAGCATTTAAGATGCATGAAGCGAGCCCCGAAAAGAAGAAGCATTATTTACACCATGCGTGCCATATAGCATGTTGTGGCAAGGCCCAGGACCTTCCCGAGTTGTATTTGGATTCTGATCTCATCTTCTGTTTAGCGTTCTTTGTTTTAAGCGAAGAGAGCTGAAAGGATGTAATGGAAATTTCTAGAAAGTGGATAAGAGTGGATAAGAGTTGATGATAACACGAACAATGGGTCAGTCTTGTTTCTACTCAGCAACTCTTCATAGCCCCTAGTTGTAAACACTAAACAGCGGTGTTGATTATTTTAATTACAGCTTCCTTTCATGATAGTCGACGTAAACCAAGTTTATCCAATTTAGCTACGTGTACCAAGTGTAGGTAACCTGGTGTACCTATTAACTGCCTCCCTCCACTTACTCACTTAGACACTAGATATCTCACAACAATGTTAACAAGGAAAGTACACTGACACAGTGACATGGACACTTGTACTTGTAAAAGATATAATTACAGATGACACCTGCCGTTAATTGAACCTTTTTATTTCAGTATCTTTGTAACAAAGAAAGGTAAGTTTTTGACAGGAATAAGAAGTTTGCTCTTTACCTAACATTGCCTAACTTACTTTACATAATCAATTATCTTTTGTTTGAAATGGCAGCTCTTTCTCATTTTAAAGACGTTGTCAGATGTGTTCTTTTAGACCTGATCGTCAACTTTGTTTTCTCTATTTAACTATCAGAACTCTTGTGATTATTCACTACTTCTTTTGTCAGCCTAGAACAATGAATATTGGAGTATATAATGAGTATTTGAGGTACATAATAAATATATAATTAGTATTGAAGACTGAAGTACAGGGAATATTTTCGTATTCATGCCCGCCCCGTAATCATCACATATCTACATTATAACCAAACCAGGAGGTCAAGTGTGTGACCTTCTGGCATTAGGCCTTGGATTAAATACTACCGTTTAAAGCGAGAAAGTGGATAATATCAACAAATCAGTGAAATCACTCTCTAATGAGACACAGTTCCTAAATTCAATTACCAGGATCTCACATCCTTCTTAAACGCCAACCACAAAACAGTCAGTATCATTACCCGCTAAATTTGATCCAAGTTCCCAACTGGATCATCTCATTGTGTACACACAAACCCATCCTCTCAAGTTACACACCTGTGTAGCTAAGTGTAGAGTAGTGGGTAATGTGCAGTGTGCTGTGGGTAATGTGCTGTGTGTGCAGTGGGTAATGTGCAGTGTGCTGTGTGCAGCTAAGTTCTATTGATAACTGTCGTACACTTCCTGCCTGGAACATAAACTATCTCCATGAGTGTGTGTTACATTATTTACAGACAAACTTTTGTCATTGGTCCAGTGCTATTATGGAACAAGTATGTGATATTAAACTTGTGGAATGATGTGCTGTTAGAAGTGGGATAATGGATCTATAAAACTTGTGTTTTGAAACTTGATATATTTAACGTCATTACTCATTGTGCACATTTGAACACATGGCAACATGGGCTACGTGCCATTTATCACACACACACACACACACACACACACACACACACACACACACACACACACACACACACACACACACACACACACACACACACACACACACACACACACACACACACACACACACACACAGTGTCTCCTAGTGAAGAGGGAGGCCTTCTCGCCGTGCCCACAGAGTGTGACTCCTGCTAGCCACACTCCAGGACTCCCTAAGTATATACAAAAACATAGAATAATAGATATCAACGCAACAGACCTCTGGAGTCTCGAAGCTGTTACTACCTTGCTCAGAGCAAACCCACTTCAGATGTTCTTCTTTGGCGGGCAGGCGAGGGACTTCCGAGCATGGTCCACACCTGAATATGTGTCACTATCTGAGATAGTCCTGTGTGGGTCTAGTGTATGATTGTTTATGAGCCTTGGTGTATGTCCTAGATGCTTATCCAAATAGGTCGTCTATCCTAGGAGGTTACCCAAAAGGGTTTTCCCTATCCAGTCTTGTCGACTGTTCCACAAATTTGAAGATATGATTGTAGTTTACTGTTGTTAAGGTAGAGTTTACCAATTATCCTCATTCTGAACCTCATGATCTGGATGCACTTGCAGAGGAGGTGCTGGGATGTTTCTGCTTCTCCTGAAAAGTGTTCACAATCTTGCGTCTCGAAGTTGACGTTGTTTGCCACGTTCTGAAAATAAACTAGTTGGCTGTGACCTATCCTGAAAGCGACCATGTTAGCCATCTGATGTGAGTTCCTGTATTTATATTTGTGTCCGAGGTACATCTCAAGTGGAATGTTCCTTTGTCACTGAGTGTGGCCTATTTGGGAGGAAGGGTTCTGGTCCTATGGGGATGCTGTTGGATTGAACGTCCTTGCGAATTCGTCCGCTAGTTCTTTACCGTATACTCCTTCATGTCCTGGAACAAAGTTCTACTCGATGAGAAAACCTAGCGAGTTGAGTTGGTCTGAGATGTTCAGAACGAACCTGGAGTTAAAATTGGTGCTGTTAAGGGCTTTAAATGCAGCCTGGGAATCTGAGAGGAATTTATGATTGATTGAGATCCTAAGTTATCATTAGTCCAGATACTTGCCATGTATAACGCAAATAGCGGGTACGATTTCCTCAATGAACCTGAAGAAGGAATATCTGTCCTGAATTGATACCATGTAACGTCGAGCTTAAAAATGAATCAAAAGTTCGAGTAAATCGTTAAACGTTGTATGTCCTATTTGCATCCCCTAAGCATTGCATTGATGTTTATTCCTGGTCCGGTTAGCTTTGCGTCTCAGAACTTAAGAGGTCCACTATGCTTTAGTGAGCTATGCTGTCCACCAGGGTACTGTAGATCTAAGGGTTCCCCGTGTAATGGGGCAGGCTGTGATAAAGCATCTCTGCAGGATGTCCGAGATGAACTGTTTCGAGTGTTGAGAACTTCCGCTGTAGAAACTGAATAGAACCAGTAAGGGTGTCAGTCAAACTCTGCTGCTACTAGATGATTGTAGAGCGTCCAGTCACACTTCAATAAAGAGTGTGGCAAAGCTAACCCGGTCCCCTGAAAAGTGGTTACTGGAGGAAGAAGTGCCAGGAATTCTCGTTATCAGTGTGTCCTCGTAGTCAGAGTTGAAATCCCTAATTCTGTCTTATCACGAGCCTGTGTCTAGCGTGTGTCAGCCCTTACGCATTAGCTGTCTTAACTGAAAAGACCTGAAAAGTGGTTACTGGAGGGAGAAGTGCCAAGACTACTCATTATCAGTGTGTCCTTGTAGTCAGGATGAGCGAATTGGAATCCCTAGCTCTGTGGTGGGTGACTTCGATGGGACCTGAAAGCTGAAAGAGAATTTCCTGGTGATTTAATAGCTCTTAGAGCTAGGTATCTGTGTCTAACGTATCGTCATTTGTGTGTGAACTATCTTGTAACCTGATATCTGAAAGAGAAATTTCCTGGTGCTTGGTAGCTGTTAGTGTTGACTTCCTGGTTCCTATGGGAACTTTGGGTTGGCAAGTCCCAACCTTAGTACTCAACAAGAGAGCACACCACCCGTTAGTGCCAACCAGGCCACACCACGTGGAGGTTCGGAGAGGATTTCGTGACCCCACACACACACACACACACACACACACACACACACACACACACACACACACACACACACACACACACACACACACACACACACACACACACACACACACACACACACACACACACACACACACACACACACACACACACACACACACACACACACACACACACACACACACACACACACACACACACACACACACACACACACACACACACACACACACACACACACACACACACACACACACACACACACACACACACACATATATATGTTGCCTGGATTGATTAATTGCATCTTCTTATGAAATGTAGAAAATGTACCGCCTTTGTATGTTATGATATGTTGTGTCTAGACTGTACTAGGAATGGTATTCTAGGTATGTTGTCATGCTTATAACATCCTTCAAGCTCCATACTCAGGAACTTGTAGAATTGTATAATATTAAAAATGACCTCATCGCTTTAAAGTGTTCATTTCATATTCTCACAGATCGTTATTGGAAAGGGCTCAAGTTCATAAAATGATTTATACAAATCAGAGTTGTGTGGTGTTAGATCATTTTAAAATCATATTCACAAGTAGACACACTCAAAGTTGTAATGATTCTAACTGCCTTGTCACTACTGTACAGCTGGTGACTATACAGGTGGAATGACACAAAATTATCGTGTAAGAAATATAAGAGGTATGTCAAGAATGCTGAGCTAGAAGTGTATTGGGGTCGTATTACTAATTATTTTAGTGATACTCAGTATTTTCCCAGTTCTATTTAGCACACTCGTGATGGAGACGCTGGCAGATGAACTCAGTTTAGCTGATTTCAGCACTGCTTGATTAGAATAACTGCTTAAGTTAAATCTTAATACAAATCAGTATCCAAAGAACGCTCCATTTTTGGCATAATAATTTTGTATATTTATATTTCGCTAAGCAGGGTTAAATTGTATACTTTAAATTTGAATATTTTGAATCTCGTAAAAACTCTAAATGCAAATTCTTTAAACTATACGAATTTGCAAGAAATTGGAGGTACCTTACTCACATGTGACGGTTATGAGTTCTCTCTTTAAAATTAAGCTTTCTAAATCCTATCTACTATAATAGTGACTTGTATATTAACTAATGTCTCTTCAGATACGAGTTCAGAGGACGAGAATGCGCCCCCACGACCTCCACCCCCAAAAGCATCACCCAAAAAGAGCCTGTCCAGAGGAATTTCAGAGGATTTGTTCAAAAACTCAGCTCGGCCCGGTGACTACAAAGCAAACAATAGCAACAACACTAGTAAACCGGAAACTGTTGTTCCTAAAGTTATGCCCAAGCCTAAAATTACTCCAAAACCCAAAGTTGTGATCACTCCCCGACACCTTGCTCCAACTTCTAATGGTGTAAGTATTTATGTGCAATAAAGTTTAGAGCTCTGACATTTTGTGTCAACTTGACTGTTAGTAGTGTAACGGCTGCTTTAGCAGATGTTTTCAATGTATCGAGTTTCATAACTTTGTCATGAATGTTTTATACAATATACATGGTTAGAGAATAGAGATGCAATGGATGAAAAAATAAGTAGTTCAGCTACTCAGATACATATTACAGTAGTTGAGTCACTCGAATCAAACCTCCGGGGAATTGAGTTTGTCACATTTCCTGTGCTGTTAGAGTTCCAGATGTCAACAGATATGTTTTGTGCTGAGTACCCTGTAAATGCTTCCTCTGATTTATGAAACTAGTACCACACTTTCCTATTCTGGGCGTAGATATTCTTTTTAGATCATCAAATCAACTTTTCGACATCTAAGGTTAAGTATTACGGCGCGGGGGCGTTGCAGCAGATGCTCAGGTCAGGGAATGTTTCGCTCATGACGTCATGTTTCCTGAGTCGCACCCTGGAGTAGATTTAATTTGTGCTTTCGGGAACGTGCGAGATATTTAAGCTTGTCAAGACGCAGAGTAACTGAGCTAATCTCGAACGCGCGTCCCTACGCGCGCAGTCTATCGACCAATCAGCAGGCTTCTTGGTCGGAACAATTGTGATGCCGTCCCCCCGAGGCACTGTTCAAACATATTATATATTGTTTAGTTGAAGGACTGGGCGATTATCAACTAATTTGAATTCTAAAATATGCTAGCCCAGCACTTACTTATTCCTTTCGAATCCCGAAGAGGTATCACAGTTCTTCAACCTTCAGGCACCGGCTCCAGTGCCAAATAAAGAAGATGACAATCGTATCAAAGAACTGCAAGCTGAAAATGGGAAACTAAAAAAAGAAATAGAAGATAAGAACAGCAAGTTAGCTGGATTGGAAAAGATCAAAGCCGATACCGGGTCGGCCCGAGAATTAGGCCGACTGAAAACTAAATACGAGAACCTTGAACGGGAAAAAGATATGGTCGTCACAGAAAAATTGGCAATGGAAACAGAACAAAGTATAATCCTAAAAGAGAACGAGTTCTTGAAGAAGATGAAAGCGTCAGCAGTAAGTAAGAGGGAAGCTGTCCAACATTTGGAGGACAAAGATTTGGCTGAACAAGCGAGGGATGAAGCTTTGAGAGAAAATCAGAAGCTCAAGCGAGAGATGGACGACTTACAGGTAAATGGAAATACTGCTGGAAGACTTTTCAAACGCGACAGAGGACTGACTGATTGACTGAACTTCTGAAACGAACCACTAGACAGACCTACTGGGAGATTTATCTACTATAAAACTGGAAATCAGACCGATCCTTCGACCTTTATACAGACAGACAGACAGACAGACAGACAGACAGACATACATACATACATACATACATACATACATACATACATACATACATACATACATACATACATACATACAAACAGACAGACAGACAGACAGACAAACAGACAGACAGACAGACAGACAGACAGACAGACAGACAGACAGACAGACAGACAGACAGACAGACAGACAGACAGACAGACAGTGTGATGTGAAAAGGCGACTGAATGTCAACAATAGCATAGTGTTAACTATATGATTGTGTCAATTATAACAATTTTAACACAAACACCGCCTCTATTTTCAGCGCCAAGTTGGTGATGTTACCTACCAGAAAGATATCCGCGAAGATGAGCGGAGAAGAGAAGCCCGTGATAAAGCTAGACTGGAGAAGGAATGTGAATCTCTTAGAGAAGAGCTCCAAGAGGAGAGGTAATGTTTTTATGATTTTCCCTCATTACATTAATGAAATTGAAACCTGAAATATATCTGATTTTCTTTACTGTTATTCAAGTCAGTGAAATATAGCTGCTGGTATGAGACTGTGATTGAAATCAAATTCGAAAAGTCATTTGGCCTCAATTTAACCTACCTTACATATTTATAACGTACGAAATGTGGCGGTTTTCCGAAAATTTCGCCATATTTTCGGACCGCCAAAATTTCGGTCGTCGTAATAGAATCCGTCGCATTATCTTTTAGCTTATTTCAATGACTGTGCCTTCACTGCTTTATTTTGTTTCTAAAAAGTAATATCAAGTAAAATAAATAAATAAATTCTGGCATCTTGGGACAAATTATCACCACACCAATGACGAATTGAATGTCAAGCAATACAGTTTAAATTTGCATTAAAATACATGTATGTGCTAACATGAAAGTATTACAGTCTTAATACAGACTAAGTTTGAACATGATTTTACCGAATTTCAGAAATTTCCTTACTGCTTACTGTCACAAAAAATGATGAAAAATACCCTTATTTTCTGTGACGTCCGAAATTTGACGGTTTTTGTTCAATTTCGCCATATTTTCGGACCGCCAAAATTTCGGTCGTCGCAAATTAGGCCGCCATAAGTATGTCTTGTAAGGTATATTAAAGTTAGTTTCTCATTGTCTTTTACACTTTCTGTTCTTCAGGAAGCACGCTACGAAACTGTCCAGTAGTTCAGTGACACTGTTGCAGTACGAGAAGCTACAAGATGAGCTCGATAACACGAGAAAAGAGGTGAAATCTGCAATAAGAGAAAGGGATGCGGCTGTTCAAGATAAGGTACGTTTTTTAAATCGAAAGGATGTTAGAAAACTCTAAAACATTCTAGATCATATGTTTTGACATGCAGTTTTATAAAAGCATGTTAAGTATGTTGCATTCCTGGTGAATGGTTGTAAGCATGGTTATGATGAGATGTTGCCAAACAGAATGTATGGGAAAGTTTGGTACATATATGAATACTTTGCATAGTTGTAATTCCCACGTGGCTCAATGTAAACACTTACATTTCCTCGCCACTGTACAGCAACACAATACTACACATGTTTTGCTTACCTTTGACGTATTTTATTTCTATAGTTGCACTATAATAGTACTACCTGCTAGTTACTTCACATACATTTTTCCCTAAATCTATTTTTAATTGAACCGTAAGATTAGAATTAGAATAAGATGAAGTGCTCTCGATGTACCCCATAAAAATTAGTAAGGGTTGTAGACTTCGACCAAACGAGCAGAATTTTACCAAACTTTTATTGCTCTAGAATACTCTGCTGATGGAGCGCAAGTCAGGAGAGTCTGCAGAGATCAGGAATCTTCAAGAGAAACTCTCGCAGTTAAACCAAAATGTCGCTAAAATAACCGATGAGAAGGTCAGCATGAAACGACTTTTTAACATTATTTTTTGTAAAGTTAAGTTGATATTTATCTAAAATTTTTATGATCGCATTTAAGATTATATAGTGCTTGATATGAGGTATGAATGATGTGAATGAGTTGTATGCTTTATTTCACGAGTTTATTGTGTGTGGTGGAATCCTCCATTCGCCCAAGAATTTGTCCCTATCCACAATATTCTCTGTTTCAGAACAACATCGCGTTTGAGAATGCAATGGTAACAGACCAGCTAAATGCCACTGTTGCTGAAGCAGATGAACTGAAGAACGAGAGGAAACAGTTAATCGAGCAAAACGATCTGATGAGAAGTGATATTGAGCATCTGTTGAAGGAAAGAGAGGAGATTATGGATGAGTTAGAGGAGACTAAGAAAGCTATGAGCGGCACTTCTGGAGAGAAAGAAGAGGCAATCGCAGCATTGAGACAGAGCTTGAACAATCAGCAGAGTATCTCTGATACATTTGAGGCTAAGTTCAACGAGACAGAACGAAAGCTCATTTTGTTGGGCCAGGAATTCAAAACGGTTGCGGAGAGAGAAGAAGCATTAGTTGGGGACCGAGACACGTTACAACAAAACTTAGACACTGTCCAAGGGAAACTAGATCAGTTGACCCAGGAGAGGAACACTGCAATGAGTGATTACGACCAGATTTACAAAGAATGCGAGGAGCTCAAGAGAGACACGGTGGCTGCAGTGGATGACAAGGAAATGATCGCCGCTGATCACCAGCAGGCACTGGACGAGATAGAGAAGCTTCACAACCACATTGCACAGTTGGAGCGTGCTCCACAACAACAACAACAACAACAACAACAACAACAACAACAACAACAACAACAACAACAACAACAACAACAACAACAACAACAACAACAAGCTCCTCCACCAGTAGCAGTTGAGGTTATACGATCAGTGGCAGCAGCACCTGAGCGTGTTGCCTCCCCACCGCCAGCACCTGCTTCTTTTGTTCCTGAAGACGAGGACTTCATTGAGGACAGAGATTGGAGAAGTGAGATCAAGGTTATCTTGCTGAACAAAGCTCAGCACAAAGCTAGATCCTTTGGCTTTACCATTGGAGGTGGTATTGATAACCCCCATTATAAGGATAATCCTGAGGACTCACATATCTACGTGTTACGAGTCCAGACAAACGGAGTCGCGGACGGAGTCCTGCACCGTGATGATGCTATACTTTCTGTCAACGGTAACGATCTCTCTAAAGTAAAGCACGAGTACGCAGTCAGCACCCTCACCAGTTCAGGAGAGTGTATTGAGTTGGTCATTAGGAGGAAGTTCGTTCCGGAGCTCATCAAGATCATCAACCTGTCGCCATTCCTAGACAGAGGGCTAGGTTTTAGTATCATCGGTGGTAAGAGTGAAGATGTGACCCAGGATCCTGGTATATACATCGCCAAGGTCCTGCCTGGTGGAGCCGCTGAAGCTGAGGGTATTCTCGACAAACAGGACAGAATACTGACCATTAACGGATCTTACGTGGTGAATGTGAGCCGCAAATATGCGGAGGGTTTGTTGAGTAACCTGGATGATCAGTGTGTACTGAGAGTGGTAAAGCCTTTCTCCACTCTACCCTATGATATAGATGATGTAGATAACGTAGATGGTGCAATGCCAGGTCCAGCTAGGGACTATAAGAGAGGTCGCTCCACGGAGGATCTCAGACGACCTATGTCACCTGATCAGGACTTATTCGGACCACCTGCTAACTTCAAGGATACACGTGGTATGAACAGAGCTGGATCTACTCCGCAGCTCCACGATGATCGGCTCTATCAGAATCACATGCCACCTCCAGTAGACCCACTTAAGAGGTCTTCATCTCAAGGACATCTGTTGAAAAACAGACCTGAAGCGGGACATGATCTACAGCGATCCAGATCGCAGGACTGGGCTCCTCCCCATATGATGGATCCTAGGAATTTCGCGCCGTCTTATGCCATGCGCCGTATTAACATCAGGCGACCTAATGCTCAAACATCTCTCGGATTGGAAGTTTACACTGCAACTTCGGGACAGAGCGGTATATTTGTAAACAAATTAGACAAACTAGGCCTCAGCTTCAAATCAGGACTACGATGTGCGGATCAAATTCTTGAGGTCAACGGCAGGAATCTGCGGAATGCAACTCACGACGAAGCTGTCGGTATTCTCTCTTCAAGCGTAAACTTGAATCTAATCTGCCAACAAAATCCTAAGCAGTTCGGAGAGATGCATCAAAGCATGAGAAGCGGTTTCTTTGTACGAGCTCTCTACTCGTTCAGCTTAGGTCTGGACTCAGGGCTGAGTTTCAAAGAAGGTGATGTGTTCCATGTAGTAGATCGCGAGAGTATGGAGCAGGAAGGCTGGTGGCTAGGGCTACTACTGCGCGGCGCCACTGCAGTGCAATGTGGTGAGATCCCATCCCACCACCGCGCAATCCAGTTCATTCAACAGAAGTTCGGTCCTCCCGCAGACCAGCAAGGAGGGAGAAAGGGCAAGAAGTCTCTGCTAGGGGGTGTGTTTAAGAAGGGAGATGGTTTGAGTCAGTCTGGAAGTGTAGACGATCAGCTTAACGCTAGTGATATCATCCCTTACGAGCCAGTACTCAGGAAGGATCTCAGCTTCTGTCGACCCATTATTATTCTTGGTTAGTTTAAGAGCTTCTTTTTTTTCGTCTGTTGTTGATCTCTAAGTTCACAACATTGATTGTGGCCGCATTCCTTAAAGGTCTTAATTTCATCCTTGACTGTTATTGGTTTGCAAGTAGAAACAGTTTCATGAATCTAACACTGTTCAGGGCCCCTGACAGAGCTATTGAACGACCGTCTTGTTAACGACTGTCCCGAAATGTTCAACAGGTATGTCACTCACTGTCCCGTGTTTTTTGTCAATGAAATGATTGATTGATTGGGGACCAGCTTTTGGTACACTGGTTAATGTTTACTATATTATTAAAGTATTACAATTACATATAGAATAATTACATAAAATTAGATAAATATAAATTCCCTTTGCTTAGGACGTACCAAAATATCCAAAAATGAAACGATGCACCTTAGCACACAACACAATACATAAACAACTGGCAGTGTTTCCTCAGAAAAGAGCCCTATAGATAAACCTGGCCTGGGTGAGACCTGCATCGCGATTGCTATTCAGCGATGTGTGCTCTACAAGTCATCACATACCTGAGTTACAATCACGGTTGCATTTATATAACTATATAACTCGCAATTAAAAGTTCCTCGTTATCGGCCGAAATCAACAAATACACGCCGAAATCAACAAATACACGCAACAGCCATAGATAAGAGCCTTATAGTACACTTAAATCAAAGTACTGTGGTTATCAGATATCAAAAATACTGTATGTTACATCTTGACCTTATCTACACTAAAAATCTTGCCGTCTCTGATATAATGATACTTTGTTGGCTGAGCAGTAATCATTTCCTTCATTTTTACAACGAGTATCTGGTGAGCTGCTTTCTCCTCCCTATTTCTGTCAGGTGTGATGTACCATGTGTGGTACGCTACATAATTAGATTTCTTCAGATTTCTTGCTCGAGCAAGAACCATTTTGACTGATTCCGTGCAAGCCAATGTCACTTTTATCGGTCTCGGTTTTACCACTATCTGCAGGTTTTTTAATCCCGATCAAACTTGCTGCCACCACTTTAGGATCACACACCGAAGATTCCCAAATTTCGGTTATCACTTCTTCTGCCACTATATGTGGATCACTGCCGTAATTCTCTGGCACACCGTAAACAATGAAATTCTTACTGCGGACGTCATCTTCAACTACAGTTTTCACAGCTGTCTTTATACTGTCAATCGACGGAGCACTGGTAGTTGTTTCACAGTTCTCCTTCACGATGTCGCACCATGTTTTTTTCATCTCAGTTTGTACAGTTTGCTGGACAGAGTCGAGCTCTTTCTGTTGCTGTTTGATATGATCCTTCTGATAATTAAGCTGCTCTGATTTCAGTCTGTCTATCGTACTGGCCGCAGATTTACATAGTTCGATATTGCCTGTCATCAATTTAGAAAGATTTTCAACAGCAGTAGCCAAGGGGTCTTTCGTTATACCCATTAATCTCGAATGATTCAGCTCTGTAACGGTTTGAGTTTTCGAGAGTTTCAAGATGTCACACAACGCCACTGATAACTCTTTTTCGAGTCTGTTCAAATTTTCCACAGAGAAGTCCATTGTACAAAGCAAAGGCAAGCTGAGTAGCTCGGCGTGTCGATGTAAAGATAAAACAACTGATAAGAGAGCAATTAAAATTGTTGCAAAAGCTAGAATAACTGATTGTAAATGAGCAAACAGCAGTAAAATATTGCTTTATTTATCATTGAATTTGACACTTCTGATTTATTGACCTGTTCCTTTCTTTTGCACATTTAAAATTGGTGAGAAAATTGCACCGTTAATATATCGTCAAACTGTTTTCTGATCCAGTTAATATACTCTTTAAATTACAGATGCATTCTGTATACGACAAGACCGCCAGACAGAGACGAAGTTAACGGTCGTGACTTCTGGTTTGTCTCGCAGGTATGTACTATATATAATAATAATAAGACTACAAATAATAAGTACTAAAAATAACACTCTGTTCGTCCATTAATCTAAAATTGATCTGCTTTTGAAACCTTCTCTTCACATCAATAATGGGCCGTGGTAATTACGAATATTTGCAGTTTTTGGTTTTTTTTTAATGTTAAAACGAAGAGCAATCTGCGATATGTCCTAAAAATTTAAATGGGCTTTCTTCAGCAACAAATAGAAGATATACAAGCTGGTAGAGAAGACGACAAGTTTGTGGAATGCAGACACATCAGCGGACACACATATTACTACAGCGGCAACGCTATTAAAGAGGTAATGCTTTACAAAAGATCAATAAACTTACCCACGATTTCACAATTACCTAGTACATACCGCTTGAACACTGTAATACTGGTACTGAGTCTTGAAAGGGATCAGTGAAGAAATTATTTTTATCAGGTAGCAAAAGCGAACAGGCACTGTGTGCTAAACGTCGGCATACACTCCATAGACAGACTGCATTCGGTCGATCTCTTCCCTATCGTAATATTCGTCAAGTTTAAATCAGCTCAAGACATCAGGTAACTAATCAACTAATTAATTAATCAATTAAGATTAATTACTGGATAATATTCATGATCCATTTTATTTATGTTCTCCATTTTAGCAGTTTATACATTTTTATGGTTAATTATATAAAAGATAATATGATAAACGGTCCTAAACTGCTTGTACAGTTTAACATCCCGTTCCACAGAACTTGAAATTTTAACTTGAAATTAATAACCTGTAAATTTTAACAGACAGCAGTTTAATGAGCGCTGTTCGATTGAGCAAGCGCAGAAAGTCTTTGAAAAAGCGGTCAAGTTGGAACGCGGTTTCAGCGATAAATTTAGTGGTAAGTTCGATAAACAATATTAAAATGGAGTTTAAGTACTATTACCGCAGATCTATTCCAGAGTTTATGATCCAGCTATCGAAAATCTATGGATTAAGAAACGTTCAAAAAAATACGCGCAAATATGCTGCATTAAGAACCGGAGAGATCTAAAAATATACTATATGTGAACGTTCCTTCACAGTCTTATATTTTCAGCAACGTTTAGTGGGGTTTCTATGGAGGAAGTGTTCCTGAAAATCAAAGACTATATCCGTGACAATGCAGCAAACGTCATGTGGGTTCGGCAGAGCAATCAATGAATAATAATGCGATAGATACTATCGTTTAAAGACCATATTTGGCGGGACAATATCTGGTGATAACCATATTTGGAGATGTCAATCGCGTCATTATGTTGCCATCACTAACTCTGCCTCTCATAAGCATGCTGCTCGATTTCTTTCATTCTTCAGTCCTTGTTATAAAACCGAATAATATTAATATCATTTTTATGTTGATTACATTTACATGGTAATTTGTGTGTAGTAGAGTTATATTCAGTAACAGATTGATAGAGAAATTCTACCAAACCAAATGGTTTAATATTTAGATTTATTGTTTTAAGTTTTACCCCTACAATTCAGATAATTTTCATCATCGAGTTTTACAGATTATTTAGGGCTACGTTGAATACCGTTTCTCAAAATTTCGGGTTTCAGACTTCATTTTTAGAATTTCAGACAGATTAATTTGATTTAAATGACTTCTTAACATAATATTCGTTGTTACACCGTGTTTCACGTTTTCATCGAGTTTGAATTCTATGATAGCTTGTCAATACATTTTTATATAATATATATTATATCAATCGTGATTTATATTGGTAAAGTTTAGGATTAGTTGTTAGCATATGCGTATGATTCTTTGAATGAAACTATATTTGAAATAGAGCTGGTTTTAAGATAACAATTTTATCATAATTATATCCAAAATGTTTTGGACATTAAGCTGATTTTTGTTTGAGATTCATTATCGTCATTTAACACATGGTGAGATGAGGACAGTTGACTTTATATCTAAACATAATATTCGGTGGAATATTTATTTGCTCCAAGATATGAAAATATCATCGTAATAACACAACTGATGCATGATGAATCCAAGTGATCTGAGATTATCGCTATTTGCTCTTTTATGTTCGAATTATTTTAGTGGACGATGGAAATGACAGCCCATAAGAACGAATTGTTCTTATTAATTGCGCTCCTAAACGTTCATGAAAATAATTGCCCTTTTGTCGAGAAGGAAGGTTAGACAGCACCATGATATTGTTTGTGTTACGAGTATGGCTGGGGTTACCTTACGTTTTGAAAGCTGATATTGATGTTTACTTATTTTGTAACATAGTATGTACAAGTACTGAATTTTATCATATTTTATTTTGACGTTTAAAACCTTCAAAATCTTGGGTTTGACTTTTTAATTTTTAATCTCATCGACGCACCGCTGGGTTTTATAGTGATATCAAATATATTATATACGGGTATCATCCGTACCCCATCCGTAAAATAATGATCCCGGATAAATTAAAAAGCTGACCAAGCTATACTACAGCGGAACCAGATTAGTAATAGTAATAGTATATATTACATATTAAGATAAAATCAAAGCCCTCTTGAGTCTCGACTGACGGATGTCACTACGCGCGCGCCGGGCCAGACCATTAATGATTAACAATGATCAACTTGATAGGGTGTGTGTAACAAGCAACCCTAACCATAACCACGAAGCTTTCTATAACCCTTACCACAACCCTAAGGCTAACCTGAGCCCTAAACAATCGAATTCATGTTTTACTAGCCTGTCACGTGACCAAAACGGTTTTTTGCCCATATGCCATAACTCTCCAGGGAAGCATCAAGAACTGAGTACTGGGATTCCCTGGGGGGGGGGGGCCAATGGCATAAATGGAGAAAATGGAGAATTACTCATAGGTTTTTCCATTTTCTCCATAGAAATAGTCTCCATTTTATGCCATTTTATGCCATTGAAAACCTGAAAAATTTAGAATTTCGAGAAAAATTATTTAAAAAAAAGATATTTTCGGCCAATAATGAACAGAGTATCATGAAACATGGAGAAAAGTGGTTTTCAGAAAAACTTTGAAAAATGTTGACTTAGAAAATGTTCGGTCCGAGTCATTTTCGATACGTACCTCCCGTATCGAGAGCTCCCGATTCCGAGCTCGTGTTGCAAAGGGGAGGCCTGCCTTCCGAGATCGCATTACCTCGAGTCCAAAATTGTGTATCGAGGGGAAGGTGTGGACTTCGAAAAAGCGAAAAAATATTTTCGGCAAATAATGAACAGAGTAGCATGAAACGCGGAGAAAAGCGGTTTTCAGAAAAAATTTGAAAAATTTTGACCGAAAAAATATTTTCGGCTTAAAATGAACAAGGTAGCATGAAACGTAGAGAAAAGTGTTTTTCAGAAAAACTTTGAAAAATTTTGACTTAGAAATTACCCCTCGGTACACAATTTTGGACTCGAGGCTTCCCCCTGGTAATTGGTAATGCGATCTCGGAAGGCAGGCCTCCCCTTTGCAACACGAGCTCGGAATCGGGAGCTCTCGATACGAGAGGTACGTATCGAGAATGACTCGGGCCGAAAATTTTCGAAGTCAAAATGTTTCAAAGTTTTTCTAAAAACCACTTTTCTCCACGTTTCATGCTACCCTCTTCATTATAAGCCGAAAATATTTTTTTGGTTTTTCGGTTTATCGAAGTCTGCACCTACCCCTCGATACACAAATTGGGACTCGAGGCTTCCCCTGGTAATGCGATCTCGGAAGGCAGGCCTCCCCTTTGCAGTGCGAGCTTGTTTCGACTGTCGAGGATTTAGGTCTCACTTCTCAGTGCCTATTACTCTCCCCTATTACTCACTCCTGCTGTCATGTAGCCTGTAGAAATAACTTTACACTAGGCTTGAGTAATTATGAGTTTGCCTGAAGTGTGCCTATACTAACCTAGTATAAGCATCTAGTAGCCTACTATGAGCTTTCATAAGCTTGTTTGTTGTTACGCCCCTAGTAAGCGTGAATAAACATGTTAGGATGTCCAATTTAGGTGTTAAATGGTGTTAAAGATGAAATTTCGAAGACAAAATTCATGGCATAAAATGGAGAAAATGGAGAATTACTCATGGGTTTTTCCATTTTCTCCATAGAAAAAGTCTCCATTTTATGTTGACCATTGTTAATGATCTGGCCCGGCGCGCGCTACTTCGTAGCTCGTGCCGTCGGGCCATTTCGAGAAGAAAGCGGCGCGCTGTTAAGTGGCGTACTCGGATTTCAGCACGACAACTTACTTAACGGCCTATTTACTGCTCCAATTTTCCATGACTTCTAGAGATTATTTATTTATTATATTTCATTAAATTGTGATGGTATTAATTTAACTACGTATAATGGGCTCCTTTTAACTAGAGTATGGATATTCAGGTTCCGATATTATGGAATACCTCCCGGTTTGAGACTCACTCAGGGCATAGTTCAAACCCAAACTCTCAGTGTACGATGGTAGATTTATGACAGGAATTTATGTTATAATTATGGACTTCGAACCTTTAGGTTAATTTATATCTAGAGTTTTAACTTCGAACTTTTAGATGAATTTATATCTGGAAGATAACCAATTAAAACAAGTGAATAAGTAAAGGATTGTAAAATAATGCAAGACCAATCCAATCGTACATAAAATAAGTGTTCAATCTCATGGTAAAGTCCGTTACCCTAAATCAGTTGGGTAGCTGGGTGATCAATGGGAACTGGTGTGTATTATAACGGACTGGCTGACTCTCTCTCTGGACGATGGACAGGTAGCTGCTATATCATGGCTACGTTCCTTCAATGCTGCCAACGAGGGCAGAATCCGTGGGAGGGGAATGTCGAGGTAATAATGTAGGTGCTGCTAAGGTTAGGACAAGCAACCAGGTAGGATAGGCTCACCACAATATTACCTCGAGCAACAAACTTCCTAGCTTAGCGGGAATTTACGGAAGTGACGGGAACCAATTGCAATGTTCTGGTGACTTCTATTTATGAAACTAGTGACGTGGGAGAGAGCGCAGCATACTAACACCCGGGCCGTGTAGGGAAAAACAATCATAGGAGAGGCGTTCGGGAAAAGGCTAAAGGCAGACGGCCACAGCTAACGGCAGTGAGAATCTTTTCTTTCATCTTTTTGTAGTCTAGGTGTTCTGTGGAAGAGGAGCTCCAGTGGAAGAGGCGGTCCAGCGCGTTATCCAGGTAGCAACAAACAGGTTATTACAAACAGGTTATTGCAAACAAACAGATTATTAATACAAATCCCGGTTTTTAAAACTGGTTAAAATATCGTTCCACTAATTGATGAATTCAATAACTCTATTAATCCAATAATTTCGTTATAAATAATTCTAATAACACTAAATGTCCTTTCTGACCAATGGCTGCATTGCTCTGCAAACCTATCCAATCGGATCTTAATCATATAAGTTATCACTTGATTCATCTTTATGAAACCTTATGCCAAGGAATTAAACTGGAATTAAACGCAGCATACTGGGGTTCAACTTAACTTCTAGTTCTGAGGTACTACACACGTACCTAACATGTCCCCGATCAATTTTAGGACGTCCCCGTCATAACAACCCCATCTATAATTTAAGAACTTTATAAAATACACTTCTGGTCTTCGACCTCCTGTTACATTTCAACTGCTTCTATTCAATCATAACTTTTAATTTTTATGCACCCTTACTTACTTACTTATTCTTACTTAATCATTATGTGTAACCAGGCGCAGTCTGAGCTGACCCCATTTCCGCAGTTTAAAGAACTGCCCATTGCTTCCCAAGGTTCACTTTTTAATCCCCTTGATCACAACAGCTACATTCGCTTACTAACTGGACGATCATAAAGACCAAGTCGCTTTTAGCTTATGTAGGCCCGACTGTACATTGAGCAGATCACGCAACCTTTTACATAAAAGGATGTTACGCATATGTGAACCTACCGGCAAGGGACCCAGTCTGTAGCGATGGATGACCAGTAAGTGGGATTGGCACTCCTAGGTTCCACCGACGGTCTTATCCATAGAGGACTTAGCTGTCACAACTATGAACTTTGACCGTTTTCTCTTGCCTTGCCTGTTCACTAGATCTTATCTTCCAAATTTTTATTTACTCCCTTTCTGGGTAATTTTCCACCTTTGTGGGGTTCAAAAAGATAAGATACTAGCTAGGTGTGGACTGTCGTCCACGTACCACCGTGTTCCACTTGCCTGGGGACGTATGTTCAGTCCTGGGGGTGACAAGCTCCAGGTACTGAACACCAGGTAGCCCGAAAACACGGCCGACTAGAGGGTACCAAGGCAGTGTGTTAATTCACACTTCGTTAGACACGGGAGCCTTCAGTTTCCTCTCCAGCACTATAGAATTGTTTAACGTGTCCCCGGATCCTCGCGGATCCGCCTCCCCCTGTTGGGCACTGGGATTATAAGGAGCTCATCCCTCTTCCCAATGCCCTTTCCTTTAATCGTTTTAAAAAAAATCGTACATTTAAAAAACTACTTGAAAAACTAACTATCTTTTCTTCAAAACAAACTCTAAATTCTTGGGCATAAGGTTTGATAAAATTTAATATAACGGGCGGATCTGGATTTCTAGGAATATCCGGACTAATTAAATTTGCACAGAGAATTTCGGAATTTCTAAGAAATGTAGATTGTAGAGCCACTAATGCCATTATCAGGAATTAAAGGATTTCCAGGAATCTGGTATAAATGTTGGTGTGTCATGATTAAAATATACAGACTTGTTGCCACAAGCTTCAATAAATTAATTTTTTAATAAAAGAAAAAAAAAGAAAGAAATATACATGCCCACAACTTAATACCTATAATTAAAGTCATTGTCCTCATGGTCATTGTAGTGGTCATTGTAGCGTGCATCTTGGCTGCTGAAAGCCATGTTGTCAAAGTTGTTGGATTGTTGTCCAGGGTAATTTGTGTTTGGTAGTCCGATGCTTACTCGTG